AAGGATTATCTCACATACTTAATCAGTGTCCGTGCATGGAAATCTGTTCAGTCATAGCCTCGCCATTCATGGATGAGCGACCAATTGCAATCGGTGCACAAATAATAAGGGAATTCGCTTAAATAGCGAATAAATAGAGGATTTTGCGCGATCGGCCACAGCCTTTATCGTTGCCGGATGATATTCCTTTTTGAAAGATACCACTTCAGCGGAGATGGAACATTATATCTTAAAGATTTATTATCCATATAGTAGAATCCCCACTAGGCGAAGTCGGGCTCTCACAGCCACACAGACAATGTGCATTGCCTTGAGATATTTTGCAAGCGGCACTTTTTTGTATACTGTAAGCGATGCTTAAAATATATCAAAGAGTACAGTTTACCAGGCAATTCGCAATTGTTTTTCCCAGACACCTGTGAGTGCAGGCAATTAAAGACGCGTTTTATGCCGTTGCAGGTAACGTATATGCAATAAAATTACAGTTTTCAAAATTTCAATTTACAGAATTTAAAAATCATGCTAATATTCTCATTACCCAGGAATTTCCAAAGGTTTTGTCTGCCTTCTTATTCGCTTCAAAAGAAGTGTTTTATAAATATTAAAGATTTCCTATATTTCATATACATAAAATTAACACACAAACACACACATATTCGCATACCTATCTAAATGGGGGCCGTCCATTCATTTCTTTGGGAAAAACCCTAATCCCATTCACGACACATATTGGTCGACCGATATATCGGCTGGCCGATATATCGGGCCGATATTTGGCAATTTTTAATGAATCAGCATCAGCCGATATCCGAGTGTAGTACACCGATTTACAGGCAGGAACGTCTGCGGGCAGCCCAGTGTTATTGTTGCTGAGGAACACGTGACCCATGCTGCCTTGTGCAGGACCCCAGGCAGAAGTTTTGGAGGAGTCCTGGGAGAAAACGGTAAGGCTTAAATTCTGATCTTTCAAAGACCTATTTATTTAACTGGTTTGCTATGAAATGTTGCTTTAAAAGAAAGTGCGAGCGCTTTTGAAAGAGAATGCAAATTACGCTGTCGGGAACTGGCGTAATAATGAGCCTGCAACTAACTGTACAGGTAATGTTAAAGATCATTGATTCTGACACTTAGTTTTATGCACTTATTGGTGGACTCACAGACGTTTTCTTAATCATTAAAAACATTTTAACTGTTAAAATTTTAATTATTACCATATCAGCCAGATGTTATCAGTTCTGTTTTTTTTTTCTTGTGTTGGAGAGTTTCACTCTGTGTGTGGGGCGGAGCAGGCAGCTCTCTCAAACACTGCAGCGTGTGTGAGAGTTGCGTTACTCTGCCCCGATCACAAACAGCACCGTCCTCGGAGACACAGAGCTGCTAAGAACAATGCATGGCGGAGAAAAGCGTGGTTACTATTCAGTTGAGCTGATGCTGACAATGGTCCTTCTGTGCAACTTGTTTGCATTTGAGAGCGGAGATTCTAACAATTTGTCAGACGTCTAGATAAAAAGTGCACGACTTTGCGCAGTTAGTTTCCTCATTAAACATATCTGTCCTTTATACAGGCTTGTCCGTCGACAACGTCACAATCATTAGGGGCTTGTGTTGTCCTTGCATACAAGGCTGTGTAATACGACAAAGTTATTTTATGTTCTGTGATCGCTAGATTCTGATTGTGAGTTTGGCTTGTAAGCTATCTGTCTGCTAACAACATAAACAAGGTTTTCGGCCTTGTACACTACTCATCGTACAGTACCATGATGCACTTAGTTACTAGTGTTTTTTTCTTTCAAAATGTATTAGAGTGTAATTGTTTTAATGTGCAAGGAATACTGGAATTGTAGAATGAATTGAAGATAAAGGCACTATAATAAAAATGCTAAACTTGCATTTTTTTCTTCTGTTTTAGTAATTGCTGTCTGATGGCTGAAAAAAAATCTAATCCTGTATGGCAGCATTTCACTAAGCCAAGTTTGATTTATTGTTCACAAGTTGTATTGCGTTTTTGTTATTTAACTTTATATTTAAATTTACAGTCAGTATACAATAAATGCTAAGTTGAGAAATTTTGTGTATCTTTTATTGTTATTAGTGTGATATTTTACCATGTAAATAGAGGGGAAAATGTCCAATGAGACACTTGCCAATCAAGTTTTCTAGACTTGATATACAGTATATGGGTTTTTCAAGAAGCGCGGGCATGCGCAATCATCTCGGATAAATGGATCCAGCTAGACTAATCTACTACACAGCTGCATTTGAAAAACTGACTTATCCCGGATTAGCTTCACCGGTATTAACTCATCCAAGATGAGGCATCTGATCTCAGATGATTTAAGCGACATATGGAAAATGTTTGGTTTGCTTTTCCACATTACGATGCTTTCAGCATCAACCATATATTTCCATTCAGGCATTTTACTTTAGCAATGATATTTCATGATAATTTGCAATAAACAATTGATACACTGTGGTTCATGACTCAACCCAGCCCAACCTGCAAGCAATAGGGGGAACCTTTTTAATGAGCTAACATCAGCAGACAGCCAATTACAGGAGCCAGTTTCACCAGTTGTGCTCCACCATCATCTCGCCTCCCAGCCAATGAAGTCTCATCATGCACAAAGTAACACCCCATCCATCTCAACATGTCACAACACTTTGTAGAAGAGTCCTCACCCAGTTCTCCGGGGAAGGGCAGGTGCAGCACAGACCAGCGTCTTGTTACAACCTGCTAATCATGGGTTTTAGCACAAAGTGAAGCTATTCCACAAAGAAAGAGATCAGTTGAATGTGCCTTTCTGTACCAAACAGGCTTTATGAACACACACACAAAAAAAACCCTAAGGGATGATAACTTCCATCAGCCTAACAAGTCTCTCCATGTTTCTCCCCCTCTCTCTCTTTCCAAATTATCTTCACTAAAGTCAGAGCATGGTGAACTCCTAACCTCCTTAACCACATACAAAAACTAAATTGCCACTGCCACAGAGACAGCTAGGGAATATGATCAATAGATGGCTGAGGCAGCCTGTAAGTATACTGGAATTCTTTGATTTTGGCACATTTCATCCCACTCATATACGACTCATCTCACCTATGAAAATGACAAACACAGGTGAGAACAAAGCCTGGGGTCAGAACACAGGGTCTGCCATTTATCCATTACCCCATAGCAGTTTGTGAGGTTAAGGTTCTAGCTGAAAAGCCCAGCAGTGATACTGCTCTGCTGGCCACCGGATTCAAACTGTTGCGCTGGGTGAGCGAGCGAGCCGGGAAGCAAGCGAGGCAAGCCGAGAATGCAGGCAAAGGGTTTATTCGGGTGGACGGGACCAAGACACCAATAAACATTAACGAACATTAATGACGGATCTGGGGAAGATTGACTCAGACACGGACTAAATACAGAAGACAAGCCGAAATAACAAGGTTTGAAATAACAACAGCAGGGCACGATCGGGGAAGCACACGTGGATAATGAGGGGGCGTGGCACACATCGGGATCGAACGGAGCGGATCGTGACACAAACTAGACACAAGCACACTCTCCTAACCATGAAGAGCCACAAAGCACTCCCTTAGGTCCCTTTGAGTTAACACTAAGGTCAATCACACACCTACATTTATCTTAACACAGCATTTGTTATTATGTAAATGTAATGTTTAACAAAACATTTAAACTCCATGGCTCTTTATGGCAGGCGCGTAGCCAGTAATGGGCCAGGGCGGCACTGGTCCGCCCACATTACTCCCTGGCCCACCCAGGCAAGTTTGATCAAAATACATTTTTAGTTTATTTTTATTATTCAAATGTATTAAAAAATATATATTCATATAAACCTGATTTATTTATTCATTGCCGAATATTGCAAAATAAAGGTGTGTTTTTGCAGTTTGTTTGTCTATTCTTTTTTCTACTCTCTAAGGTTTAATTATTATTTAAGTAATATTTTTTCTAGGAAAAATTATAGGCCCGCTCACTTTTTCAATGGCCCGCCCAAAATACAATTTCTGCCTACGCCACTGCTTTATGGTACACAGAACTCAGCTAGAAGAGGGAAATTAAAGAATCACAGGTTATAACCAAATGTCATAGACTATGACTATTAAGAGTGTACTCTTGTGTAAGACACCTACTTGCATATAATTTACCACACTATGCACGCATAATCCATAAATCCACACACAAATTAATGCAAAAAATACCCGAGTAATTAAAGTCAAAGGACGTCCACAATATACCATGGGAACATGATAATGTCCCGTCTCTTGTATCAGCTGACCACCTACACAGCATTGTATTATTGTTGAAGAAGAAATGCAACATTTTTAAAAAGCAAAACCAATTCTGAAAGTAGAATAATAATAAAAAACATTATAACAAGTATAAAATATATGGAATGAGATTTAATAAAGTGTGACTGATCCCTCAATTGCTTTAACAAGCCTATTGTTTTATTTAATTCATTTCCAAGCTATAGGAAAGCTGCACGACAATAATTTAGTTTAATAACTAATTCATCAAGCGGCCGGAGCGTGCCGTGAAAACACAGGTTCTCTTTCGCTTTGCCTACCGAAGCTCATTCACCTGCGTCCCCTCACAAATTCCCCGAAAAACGTAACATGAACTGTCACATTAATCATCATATTATGTTTCAGAGTCTAGACACCGATCCACTAGTAAATGATGTCCCCATTGAATGCATATTGACTGGACATGAGACAGCAGAGTTTATGGAGCCACGTTTGCGCGGGTCCCCAAATCGACACGATTCCTCCTGATTGCTGAATCTCCGCAAAGTTGCCGGCACCTTCAAATGCCACATAAATCTCCCTTAGGCAAACATAAAAGTAGCCGGTTACTTGTTTAGATCGATCGGCGGGGTTCTTGCAGTTTTTCATAACCCCAAAACTTACGCCTGGAGCCGTCGCGTAAAACTTAACAGAGGCTAGCAAGTCTCACCCTTGGGGGTGCACCTTTCCAAAGCCAGCGTCCGTACCTGTCATCGTAGCAGAAATCAGCACCCAGGGTGTTCAGATAAAGAACGACAGTCACAGCGCCGCTGAGCAGCTCCGCGATCATTTCTCAAAAGAAAAAGAATGAAAATACGAGGAACTGCAGAGGTACTAAATTAATCCCCGCCTCTGTTTTCTTTCTTCCTTTTTGTCACTGTGTGTCCATAATGATAAAAGATCGGATCCAAACACCGCATTTTCGCAAAAGTAGCCAAAGTCCTTAATCCAGCATCCTTCCCCCTAACCCATTTTCTTCAGCCCGCGCGAAGCGCCACTGACCTGACGCCCGGCACAGCGTACTGACCGGCTTTTAAGATGTGACGGACGGCACCGGCAAAGCCTTCCTCTCGCAGTGCCAGCGAATCAACCGGACCCACCGAATGACCGGACCGCCGAGCCACATGTGGTTAAAGATCCCGGTGCGCATGCGCACTGTTCGTGCTTCACTCGCCCATTGTCGCGGTGTTTGATGTTCTCTTCACTTTGGCGCAACACACCCCGAATATATTTATGTAGCCTACATGGTGAAAAATTCCTTTTATAGAATATAGTATATAGAATTACTAGGTGAACGCATAAAATGCAAGGATGAGTGCCGTCCTTATAAACGATGTCATTGAGTACTGGGTGAATAATGCCTAGAGTAGGCGACAGTTTAAGCAATTAACTTGATCCAGGATTATCGTACCCCAAATTCTTTCCTTGCAGATTTTAATTAAAACCGAATTCATGCTACCAAGGTACGTTCAAGTGTTTAAAAAATAAAAAAAAACGTAGTACGTAGTACACAAGACCGTTTTACTTCTTGTATTTTTATTCTCCTTTTATCTGTATGTACCTTTTATTTGTATCTATATGTATGTAAATATATATATATATATTTATATATATATATATATATATATATATATGTATTTTTTTTCTTTCCTAATCTCATGTAAATATCCCTAGCATGTAAACAATAGGCCTATTTTAATGACGTAGCCGGCGTAAGCACGTAACAGCCTTGGTTTAAGAATTATTTTTCTTTGGTTCTGAACTACTTTGAAATTAACAATTGAATGACACCTGGAAATCCTGGTGAAGTGATTTATAATCCAAATATTGTCTTTAAGTGTACAATTGGGATATTTGCGAAGTAAATGAAAATGAAAATTAGTAAGGATTGGGAACTAATTGATTGTAGGACTGACTCTAGATTGTGTCTGACAATAATGAAAAAATATCTGGCATGTACACTCAGTAACATTTGGCATTGAGATTAAAGTACAATTTATGAGGATTTTTGGGAATTAATGGATAATAAATTGCATCTCAAAAATATTTAAGATTTTAGAGTCATATAGGGTAACCTCTGGATACCATAGTACTCTTTGTAACATGTATTTAATCCTTTGACATACAATATAACATAAAATTGGAAATAACTGGCAATGTTATAAAGATATTTAAATAGTTTGTTCATTGCAAGGTCATTTTTAACTTTTCCTCATCAGTATATGTAAACACATCAAACAGATTCTTTAAACACTGTTATACCTTTTGAAATAATCACATTATCTCTGGTTAGCATTTCTTCTTATTTTGACATATCACTGTAAATTGAGGCAAACCATAGCTATAATTATTAATAATTCTATGGCAAAGTGTTCCATTAAATTGGCCTTGATCAACACAACTGATGGACACCAAGGAATTCCCTTAAAGTTTTTTACTTTTTTTTGTTTGAGCAAGTGGCAATCATTTCTAACTGGTAATTCCAATGACCCAGGGTATCTGAAACAGATGTACCTCTGAAATGCGTTAGGTTTGGTGTTCACAATTGAAGCTTATCTCGAAGCTGAAATATCGTGCCGATTCCAGGAACTGCCAGCAGGGGGCTCACATACTGCATCCCAACACGAATTCCCTATGAACTTGAACACTGACCTGCAGGATTTGTGCGGGTTTCCCCTACTTTCTAGGAAAAATAAATGAGTGAATTTGAAAAGAGAAAATGAAGCATACTTCTTGACTTCGTCCAGCATAGCTCAGGAATGCATTAATCTTGTAAGATTCGGTTTAGCATACTACATTCCCTCAATTGTCTTGTTAACTAGTTTAAGAAATACATGAGGTAAGGAGTCTTCCAGAAATTTTAGAAAATATAACTATTTTAAATGTCTAAAGGTCTATGTATTTTCACCACTTTGTGGCTCAGGATATCATGATGACTCGTTTTGTTATTATTTTTTTTATGAATGCCAAGAGCTGTATTTTTAACAAAGATGAGAATTTATTTCCCAACACCATTAACACCCCCAAAAACAAACCATTTTATAATCATAAAATGCTGTGGCTCATGTTTTCATGTCAGTCAGTCAAAGTTAATGTTTAAACAATGTTTGTGAACTAAAAAATAAAAAAATTAAAATACACACTCCCATAAAAGACACACTATCCGACTGAGTCCAGCTTATTTTTTCTTTGGGTTTTGTGATCTGAGGGGTGCCTCACCCATGTAACCAGGAGGAGAACTTGAAGGAATACGTAAGTCAGTGTAAAAGGTGAGAACAATGAGACACCCATGAAAGCCGACGTCGTATAACAACTCATCCAGCATATGACACTTTCTAAAAGCAAACCTGAATGTTTTGAAAGAGCAGTCACTTCTCAGGAACTTAAATTTGAGACATGTGTTGCCACTTGACTAGTGAATGAATAAACTTGTTAATATATGTGAGTCATAAAAAGTAACACTAATCTAGCCAAGCCAATGTGTCTTCCTGAGGAGCTCAACTTTTACTCTTCCTTTTGATCACCTACATTATATATAACACATTTTTTTGACTCGCTGTACTTGTCGGGAACCTCCTTTTTTGGGACATCAGAGCCTCTCATAGACACTGCAGCACCTGCTCTCTAAGCTGTGCCCGTCCATATCCTCACTGTTTTATATGGCATTGTGCACTATACACAGAATTCAGGAAGGGAAGTTGTAGTGGTATGATTCACATTAATACACAATAATTGGCAATATAGTGGATACTTGGGTGCTTTTAGTTTATCTGTTTGATGCAGATCTTGTTTAGGAGGAAAAAACTCCCCCTGCCAGCCCCCCAGAACAGGATTTGAGCCAAACTCCATAATCACTGTGCCACTTATTGTCTCACATTAGAGCACATGATCGCAAGTATTTAACCTATCATTTTGTATCATCATACTTATATTACACAGGCTACATATGGAAATGTATGTCTGTATTCCATTTAATTAACTACTTCTGCAATACATGGATCTTTTATTCATTTAATTAAAAATGTATGCTACTCCTTGTATTGAAGCTTATTGTGAATAAAGTAGTTTGCTTAAAGTGTTATTGGCATTTTTGCTGGGATCATAGGTGACGTCATGTCATCTTTTCAGAGTCGTGTTTAATGTTAAAAACCATGAACAGGGATTAAGCCATCAGCGGGACTTATCATAAAGTGACAAGACATCCTGACTCACACTTACATGTGTTGACGTAACTATTCCCCAGGCGAGTTTTCTGTCATGTGCTCTGCTCCCACATCTCTCTCACATACAGCCTTACCAGCAGCGGTGTGTCACATGACCCCATGTCCAGTAGATGCAGCTCTTGGGAAGAGAAAGCATGTCAGCTATGCCTTAGGAGTGACTGACTGACATACGATAGATGAACGGGTCACCTGGAGCCGCAGGATAATAACAGGTTAGCCACCACACCTGGGGCTGTTCTGAGTGCTACTTGCAGAGCAGCAACAGATTAAATAACCAGCACAGCAGTCAAATAACTTAAGTCACTAAACAGCACAAATGTAAAATAACATGAGCAAAGGACCCACCCATTGTAAGCATAGCAACATTGGTGTAATCATCTTCTAATTTATTTTTGGAACCATAAACTATAGCTACCTTAGCTTCTCTCCTCAGGCTGTAAGACTCCTAAATCAGGACATGCCGCACAACTTCTTGACTGTTCATTATAGGTTCATTTACATCAACAGCAACTAGCACACTGGACTTTCTAACACAAATATACATAGTCTATTCTATTATATTGCACACTGTACAGATATTTCCTATAATTGTAATGTTATTTTGTTATATTTTTTCTTGTATATTTTCATTACTTTAGTCTTATGCTTTTTATATTTATCATTAATTTAATTTGTGAAACCTTATTGAGCAGTCTCAGGACCGAATCAGGGTACATTTCACTACACATTGTACTTATATAACTGTGTATGTGATAAATAAATAATCTTGAAATCTTGAAATCTACTTTGTGCAAAAACTTCATGTTATGACAGGTTCTCAATGAATCATTTTAATTCAGAATGGATGTGTAGCCAAGTTCATGTTACCGTCATCTCAGAGCCTCAGGGGTTGCAGGTTTGAGCCCAGGCTTCAGGTATTCCTTATGGAGTTTGCACATTCTCCGTATATTGGCATGGCCTTCATCTGGTTTCTCCAAAGACATTCAATGGAGGTGAATCCATGCATCTGCAGTCCTTACAGTGTGTCCCTTAGGGCCTGCATGATTGGATATACTCAGTCTCTCCATTACAGACTGATATCCCAACTGAGGCATGCTCCGCAATGCTGGGAAGGGTTATGGTGCTCTTTGGCTTTTATTAAGGTGATGCAAGCTGGATAAGTGGTTATAGAAAATATATGGATGGTTGAATGGAAAATGAGGAACACAATCCTCTGTCATTGATGTGAAGATGACAGAGTCTGATCCAGAGACACCAGGTGTGAGAGATAAGGTTTTCTCCACATTTCCCTGTGAAACTGGACAACAAGGGGTACACCTGGGCAAGTATCTTCTTGTCCACTGTGAAGTTGTGCTGCCTTCAGGTGTTTCACTGTGAAAGTGTGCTGCCTTCCATTGTATATCTCACCTGTCACTGTGAGTGTGCTGCCTTCCATTGTATCTTATCTTTCATTGTGAATGTATGCTGCCTTCATCTGTATCTCATCTTTTACTGTGAAAATGTGCTTCCTTCCATCGTATTTCTCATTGTTAAATGTGAAAATGTACTTCTCCTTCCTTCTCACAGAAGAGCGTATCCACTGTCCCCTTAATCTCCCTCTGTGATTGAGAGATCTCCACGGTCATCAGTCCCCATTAGAAGAGCTGAGCACACTTACTCAGTATCCATGAAGCATTGAGAATGGCCATTTTCCACCTGAATACTCACACCTCTGCATGTTAGCATCTCATCACCTTCAATATCTCACCTGAAAAGATCTTCAAGCATCTCAGGCTGGGCACATACCAATGGTGTTAACAGAAGTTACCAGAAGTTTGAGGAAAATGATAAAGAATTAGTGTCCCTTCTTTGCATTTTTAGTGATTTTATCGCTCACCGTCTCTTTTATTAGCCGGTGTCCTGGTAACGAGCGAGTATGTTTTTAGCTTTTGGTCTTTCATCATCACAGATTAGCATCACACAGGAAGGAAAGAAT